ATTAGTCTCTGTGTGTGTGTGTGTGTGTGTGTGTGTGTGTGTGTGTGGCGTGAGGGGGGGGAATGTATCTGGAATCTGAAGACACGTAAGTTTAACAGCCATTTTCTGTCAATAGAATCACACTGGAGACTCTTTAAAGAGCAGGAGGAATGGAGTAGGTGTACACCAGGGCAAACCCGTCATGGCCTAGTGGGTTAAGCAAAAGGCCAGAGTCCAAGTGCTCCTCCATTCTTTCCCCACCTCTGCTAATGGCTGGCCTTAATTCTCTGCTTTGATATAACTTTTTGCCAACATTCGGGAGGTAAATATGCTGAGCCCCGGGGTGGGAATATGGAGGCGCCGATTGGTGAAGGGAATTGCCCAAGTCACATGATTACCCAGGTCTCATAGCTCTCAAGCCAATACTTTCTTGGAGTGGTGTAACCAGCTGGGTTGTCTCTGGAGCCTCTTGGATTATTTTCTCTCCTGTGCAAAACGTGTTGAGTGGTGGAGGCCACCCCAGTCCATGGCTTGCTGGTGCCCTTCATTCCACCGGAATCTGTAGAGGCAGAAACCAGATTTCAGTGTAATGAAGCCCATCAGACATGGAATTCAACTCCTCACCTTCGCGCCCTTGGAGAGAATGTTGACCAAAAGCTCATATGGGGCTCTTAGCCCCATGTCCAGACATTGTGCTGCCACGCTGCCGATTCACTGTTAAGGTGGCTGCAAAGTTCAAGGCTCCTGTTGCAATGTTAACTCGTCTGCACTGCACACACGCCATATTTCCTAGGATTGTTTTTTCTAATTAAACCTGCAGCTTAATTAAGGAGAGATGGCGTGGTCCCAGGATGAGACTTGGAATGAGGAAATCTGGGTTCTAATCCTGGCTCTGACCGTTAGCGTGACTCAATTTACCCCCAAGGGTGAAATGCGAAGGACGATCGTTACCATCCCCACTTCCCATTGGTCTTGGGAGGCTTAGTCAATGGGTGTTTGGGATGATCCTGGACCTCTGTAATGTTCCTGTTGGAGCTCTGACTTTCACAGTGCCTGACTCCTGCGAATCTAACTAGCATTGCATTGGTCCTAGCATTGAATAGGTTATGTCCTGCATCCCTTGGTTCTTTCACGTCTGCGCAGGGGACATGACACCCTTTCATCCTCCGGGGGAGGAACATTGATACTATCAGGCTACGTCTACACTATGAGCTGGGATGTGATTTCCCTGCCTGAAACTGGTGGAGGCAGCTGGAGCTCCGCTGCCATTACCCGTGCTACGGTGCCAACGCTGCTATTTATACTCGCACGAACTCGATGAGCACTAGTGCGAATACGTGTGCACGAGCAAGGAAATCGCACCCCTCGCTTGTAGTGTAGACCTAGCCTGAGTGGGTTGGACCTGGGCCTCACCTGCCTGTCATTGGTAAAATCCTCTGCTCTGAATTTGTCACGTGTCCTGCACTTGCTCCATGTGCCAAACTGCCACTGATGTCATTGGAACACCAATTTCACACCTGGGAGAAACTGAGGCATAGAGCGATGAAAATGTGGCTCTGATCTGAAAAAAGTCTTCAGTGGGGGTCTGTGGATGCTTGGCTCCTAGGAAAATGTGGCCAGGTTTGAAAATGTTGGTCTAAATGACCTGGGTGTGATCAAACGATGAATCAGTGGCGGAGTTAAAAAGAGAACCGAGGTGTCCTGTCTCCAAGAGCCTTTCTAAGCCACTAGCTACAGCGAATCACTCAGGTGTTTTTCTAGATTTATACACAACAGCAAGTATGGTCTGCCGAGCAGCAATACAGCGGGTATCAGCCTTTTGTTTGAGATCACGATAATAATGCTCATGCTAATAAAACTGGGCAAATAATGATTGTTTGACTTGCTCAGGTACCAGGAAAAATTTCTTGTGCTGCTGTATTAATTTAGATGGAATAAATGGACCTAAAAGTATTTACATAGCTCAGTCGCTGTCCAACATTAAACAGCACTAAGGTTCGGCACTTGGTGTACAGAGACCTCAGCCTGCTTAGGATGTTGGCAAACACGCCGTTAACAATCCGTTTCACCTTTATGAAAGATTAAGAAAAGAAGGAAAAACAGTTAAAGCATTTGAAATGTGAAGTATTGAATGAAGCTTTCATTTTAACAACCTCCCTTGTTCCCGTTGCCTTTAGGAGGAGAGAGATTTTAGAAGGAAAAACCCCCTTTTCCGACAGTCTCTTAGGGGGAATCAGAGCTGGTGATAACTGTCCTTTTGGGGGAAAAGAGAGGAAGTCAGTTGAGATAGGCTGGAGCTGCTGCTGCTGTTAAAGTCCAGTCCTGTTTCATCTTGGGTGGCGGTTGGGATCCAGCTGTAGCCAGCAAAGGTGGCGATGTCATCTGGGTCCCTCTCCCTGGCCTGGTCTGGTCAGGACATCTCTCAGGATTAGGATGAAGAGGTTCCGGGGTCCCAGGAGGTGCTTGGGGCGGCCAAGGGGAAGGGGCGGCACGTCGGGCTGTTCGGCGGCAATTCGGCGGCGGGTCCCTCTCGGAGGGAAGCACCTGCCACCAAATTCCCGCTGAAGAAGAAAGCGGCGTGGTGGAGCTGCCGCCGGAGTGCCGCCGATCGCAATTGTGATCGCGGCTTTTTTTTTTCCCCCCCGCCATTTGGGGAGGCAAAAACCCTGGAGCCGGTCCTGTCCCTAAGTCTCTCCTTTTAAGGACCCCAAAAGGGAGTGATGGGTGGAATAGCCCACTCCCTCTTTATTGGTTCATTAATTTCTGGTCCCACATTTACCGGTGTACCAGGCATGTTCTTACCACAGCCTTTGAGTTATATCTGGACTTTTTGTTTGGACGAATTCATTCTGTCTCCCTTTCAACCCTTTTCCCATCAACATTTGTAGTTATACATTATTGTGACATCTGATGGACCTACTTACTGTGGAGCTCACAGTTCGGGTAACTTTGTAGGCCCAGTTATCCCAACATTGCTCACACACCGTATCACAGATTGAATTAGGCAAAGCGCAGTGTGGAACTGGCCGATCATCCAAACGTTTCGCTGTCTGAGGTGTATGCTCTAGTGAACCCAACACCTGCGGATCAGCCCAAAGTTCTGACACGAATCCAAGCTTCCGTCAAGTTGAAGGGTATTCATGTCTGAGGCTCTGGTTCAGGTGGGGCCTAGTGAAAGGGGACTAGCTGCCAAGTTCATTGGAGGATTTCAAAGACCTTTACAAACATTAATTGGAGCCTCTCATCCCCACTGCGAGGTAGTTAAGTCATTGCCCCACTTTTACAGATCGGGGCATTGAAATGAAGGGCATGTTGACACTTCAAGCTGGGGGTGTGATTTCCATCTCAAGAAGACATACCCGTGCCAGCTCTGATTGAGCTAGCATGCTAAAAATAGCCACGGCAGCAGTATGTCGCTCTGAGCTAAGAATCACGCTACCAGCTCCAAGTGTAGGCATATTTTAAGTAACTTGCCCATGGTCAGACAACAAGTCTCTGGCAGAGTCAGGACTAGAACCCAGGAAACCTGACTGCCAAACCTCTGCTCCAGACACCTGGCACTGCATTTCTTTGGGCTAATGCTTTTGTTAACCAGCTATTGTTTGTTTGTTTTTAAAGGGAGATCCAGGTCCACCTGGCAAAGGAGTGGAGATCAAGGTAAATAAAAACGTGGAAAATTATAATATTGATACGCTGTCTCTCCATCCCTGTTTCTCTCACTGTGTTTCTCTGTCCCTGGGTCTCTGAGCCCCGCCCCCAGGTGCTAGGATTCAGAGACAAAATCCTAAGAAAGCCAGTGTAGAACAAGACGCTGAGGAGCTAGTCATAAATCTTACCCCATTGCTGCAGTAAGATCAAATCGTTTGGCCTTCCGGTAGGATCCAGGTTAGAGACATTAACCAGGATGGGTGCTGTGTGGGTCACTGCTGCAGCTCTGTAGAGAGATCCCTTGTGAAATTTAGTATGAACTAACAGGCAGCTATGAATGTGGCTCCCTGCCCTACAGCTCCACTGAGCAGTCTGGAACACCGAATGGGGGTCACTGGTTAGGATCTGTTGGATTCTCAGGCATAGCAAAGGCTAGAAATGCTTTATTGCCTCTGTGGCCATCAGATTCCAACCTTTGCTCTGGGGATGCTGATCTCACCCTCATCTTGTGCACGTCGGTCAATTCTCAGCTAAGCAATTGTTGCATCACTTGGGGCTACCCTGGAGAGACAGCTGGAAGCTTACATTTGTGCAGAACATCTACCTTCTAGCTAGGGTAGACAGACAAGAGCACATCACACCTGTGCTTCCGTCTCAGTTCTGAACCAGTGGACATCCAGGTGCAAATCGAAGGCTTGGCCATGGTCTGTGAAGCCCTAAATACTCTCAAAGTACCTGCTTACTGTATCTCAGAGATCACCTTCCACCCATTGGTGCCACTGCAGAAGTTGCAAACAATGGGATGCTTAGGTTTTCAGCCTCCCGGATTACGGCCCTGGGTCTGGGGTAGGGCGTTCCCAGTAGGGCTCTGGCATTTGCTCCCAACAGGGATCCATCAGGGCACAATGCAAGGCACATGTTTGTACAGCACCTAGCAGAATGGGACTCCATTCTTGGTTGGCCTTTAGGCACCACCATAATAAACATGATTAATTATCATTAATCTCCGTCGAGGTTTTCACCTAACGCTGAGTACTGGATTGTCTCTACCAGTCAGTTTCTTTCCAGTGCTGCCTATTATCATGGTATCTAAGAGCGGTCTCCTGGCCCAGCTGCCCAAGGACACGAGCTCCTCTCACACAGCATTTTCACGTACGTGACAGGGAGGAGGAATGTATGGTTCCCTACTTTGGGAAGTGTTGTTTCTTGCTAACCACATTATGTACCTAATCATTGTGGCCTGTTAATGAGAACCCAATGGGACATTCGCTGCTGAAAGAGCCGATCGGCCCACACATGTAAAACTCTGCACCTACGCTATTCCCATGATGCAAGGTCCGATGTTACGCCTGTCCAAGCCAATGGCAAAGCTTCCATTGACTTCAATGAGAGCAGAATCCAGCCATCAGTATCTAGGGGCTTATCACTGCTCATCTATGGAAGTTATACTTGAGTTAATGTTATTTCCCTTGGTGGTAAATTGTATAGTCAATTGCTTACTCTGAAACCACACTTTGGCTTGTTATGAAATATACTCCAGAGACTAAATAACCAATATCAGTCCGGTTTATTGCTAAAAGACACTAATCATGTAGTGCAGGAAAAAAGGTTCAACATGATACCAGCTTCCAGGAAGCCGTCTCGTGCAGCGTGGTAGAATTCACCTTACACAGAAGGCTTGCTTCCAGAGTGACACGTTTCAGCTAGGAGCATTTATAGGATGATTTCACAAGTTACAAACCTCTTTGCACATCACTAGAATTCAACCCACCAGTTCATAGCAGTTTCTTAACTTGTTGTTCTGTACTTTCCTTATCTTGGAGACTAGCTTTCCAGGTACTGGTCCAGGACGGTACCTCCCCAGCTCGTACCAGGGCAGAACATTAACGTGGTTTGCCATTGGCAAGTTTTCTATTTTCTAATGCCAACGCTGACTTCAGCTTTGCAAAGTGTTGTGGGATAATTGACGGGTGAACAGAATTCAGTTAACATAACTTCCCAACACTTCTTTCTTTCTTTCCTTTTCTTTTCTTTTCTTTTCTTTTCTTTTCTTTTCTTTTTAAATGTATATTATATCCATGCACATAATATCTATTAATGTGGTGTGTGCTACACTCAACATATGTTCATTGGCTAACACCCTTCATTCCTAATTCAGGATCTGGAGAGACTTTTTGAAGCCTATGGGATCAAGGTATGTGAATATTTTACTTTCTTTCTGAACGTTTGGCCCACTGCTGGCTCGCAGCCAGTTCCAGATGGAAATGGGACAGGGGGTGGGGCCCAGCTGGCCGTGAGCTGGTATGCAGCCGGGGGCTGTGCTGACGGAGGAGCAGCCGGCCCCGTGCACTGCATCTTCGCCCTGCCACCAGCCTTGCATGGCCACCCCCTAGGGTTGTCGACTGTCTAATCACACAAACCCAAACACCCTTGCCCCGCCCCTGCCCCTAGGCCATGCCCAGAGCTGGCTCCAGGCACCAGCTTAGAAAGCAGGTGCTTGGGGCGGCCACTCCGGAGGGGGGCGGCACGTCCAGCTATTCGGCGTCAATTCGGCGGAGGGTCCCTCACTCCTGCTCGGAGTGAAGGACCTCCTGCCGAATTGCCACCGAAGTGCTGCAGATCGTGATCGCGGCTTTTTTTTGGGAGGGGGGGTGCTTGGGGTGGCAAAAACCCTAGAGCCAGCCCTGGCCATGCCCCTGCCCGTCCCCTTCTCCAAGGCCCTGCCCCCACACACTCCATCCCTCCTCCCTCCATCACTTGCTTTCCCCCACCCTCACTCACTTTCACTGAGCTGGGGCAGGGGGCTGGGGTGTGAGCGGGGTGGGGCCGATGGCTTCGTAGTGTGGGAGGGGGCTCTGGTCTGGGGCAGAGGGTTGGGGTGCAGGAAGGGATTCTGGCTCTGGGAGGGAGTTTGGGTGCAGAAGGGGGCTCAGGGCTGAGGCAGGAGCTTGGGGTGTAGGCTCTGAGAGGGAATTTGGATGTGGGAGGGGGCTCAGGGCTGGGGCAGCAGAGGGTTGGGATGCAGGAGTGGGCTCAGGGCTGGGGCAGGGGGTTGGGGTGCAGGCTGTGGGCTCTGGGAGGCAGTTTGGGTGCAGGAGGGAGCTCCGGGCTGTGATAGGGGGTTGGGGCATGGGAGGGGATGGGGGCTCTGGGTGGCGCTTACCTCCAGTGGCTCCCGAAGGTGGCATGTCCCTGCGGCTCCTAGGCACAGGCATGGACGGCCAGATGGTTCTGTGCGGTGCATGCTGCCACCCCTGCAGCTCCCATTGGTGAGGAACCGCGGCGCTTGGGGCAGAGGCAGCGTGCAGAGACTCCCTGGCCGCTCTTGCCTGCACCTAGGAGCCATAGGGGCATACAGCCGCTTCCAGGAGCCATGCAGAGCCAGGGCAGGTAGGGAGCCTGCCTTAGCCCCATTGCACTGCCCCCGTCAACCAGACTTTTGGCCTGTTAAAATCTCCAGCATTGCTTTCAATAGCAACCAGGAGATTGAGGCCGATTCCGGGAGACTCCTGGTCAATCCGGGAGGGTTGGCAACCCTACCACCCCCATCGTTGGCCACTGGACCCTCCTCCCCCACTCACCGCTGGTGGGCAGGCGGCTGGCGAGCAGGGATCCAGCCAGCAGCAAGACCCACCAGTACTGCTGGATGGGAGACAGAAAATACGGGACAATTTGCCCGTTTTAAAGAAAAAGTCGGGACACCTGCAGGAGGGCTTAAATAGGACTGTCCCTTTAAAAATGGGACGTCTGGTCACCCTAGCTCTCCCTTTCCTGATTTTTCCAGACTTCCCCTCCCAGGGCCTCTCCCTGACAGGGGCACCTGAAGTGGGGGGCTATGGGGCCATCACTTTTAAGAGCTGTAAGGGCATGCGACAGGGTGGAGAGGAGCGAATAGGGAGCGTGGAAGGAAACAGCAAGGAAATGGGGCCTCAGGGGAAGGGTGGTGCGAGGGCAGGGCCTCGGGGGGGAGGGCAGTGCTGCCCACCCTCTTAACTGCAGTTTGCTGATGAGGCACAGGGGCACTAGCCCTGATGGCCAGTCCCTCTTAAATAGCTAGTGTCACCTAGAGACAACCCCCCCCCCCATCTCACTGTCTGGAATGCCTTTATCCAGTGCTGTATCCCCATCGCACAGAGGGGAAACTGAGGCACAGAGAGACCAGATCCTCCGTGTACTGAGGCTCCTGACTCCTGTTGAAATCAATGGGAGTTAGGTGCCTAAGTACTTTCGATGAGCTGTACCTAGGTCATAGACGGAGTCTGTAGCACAGAAGGGAATTAATCTTGGCTTTTCCGAGTCCCAGCCATTGGCCCCGCCTCCCTCCACAGCAGTGGTAGAGCACAACTAATCAGTGTCCAGAATGACCTCGGGAGAGATTGGTGAGCATAGTGGTACACACACTTGTGGTGAAAGTCTCCCGTGCTGGTAATTCTGGGACCTTTCACCAGAAGGCAGTTCCACGGGGTACTGGCACTTCCTGGAGATCTGCAGGCGTCTGTCTGTCCATGTGCCAGGCAACGCCCCTGAGTGCATGTGTATCCTACTCTCACGTTGAGTGGGTTCTGCCTTTCTCAGTTACCTTGGGGAGCAGCGGGGGACAGGGAGAGAGGTGGTCATTGTTTGATCATTGATTGTTGATGTGCTGTTGCAGCTGGCGCTACTGAAGGAACTGACCGATCTGCTCCTGAGGGATGGGCTTGAAGCGCTGATCCAGCGGCGAACCAGCTCCAGGAAAGGCAAGCCCGCCAAGAAAAAGGAGGGATCTACGCAAGCTACGGACTATGCTGTGAGTATTCATCCTCCTGAACTTCAGCGGCATCAGAGAGAAGAAGGGGAGGAGAGCCGGGGGAAATGGAGGCACCGAGAAATGGCTTGTTCAGGGCTCCAGAGAAAGTCATTGGCAGAGCCAGGAATAGAGCCCGTTCTCATTGATGCCAAGTCCTGTGGTTTCAATATCAAGATCTTCTTTCCCTTCCCCTCCCCTGCGGTGTTATCATTGCAAGGAAGAGTGGGGCTGCTGGTAGCAATGGTGGCTGGGAGCTGCAGGAGGACAGTTTATTGTCATGCAGATTCATAGAATCATAAAATCATAGACTATCAGGGTTGGAAGGGACCTCAGGAGGTCATCTAGTCCAACCCCCTGCTCAAAGCAGGACCAATCCCCAACTAAATCATCCCAGCCAGGTCTTTGTCAAGCCTGACCTTAAAAACCTGTAAGGAAGGAGATTCCACCACCTCCCTAGGTAACCCATTCCAATGCTTCACCACCCTCCTAGTGAAAAAGTTTTTCCTAATATCCAACCTAAACCTCCCCAACTGCAACTTGAGACCATTACTCCTTGTTCTGTCATCAGGTACCACTGAGAACAGTCTAGTTCCATCCTCTTTGGAACCCCCTTTCAGGTAGTTGAAAGCAGCTATCAAATCCCCCCTTATCTTCTCTTCTGCAGACTAAACAATCCCAGTTCCCTCAGCCTCTCCTCATAACTCATGTGCTCCAGCCCCCTAATCATTTTTGTTGCCCTCCGCTGGACTCTTTCCAATTTTTCCACATCCTTCTTGTAGTGTGGGGCCCAAAACTGGACACATTACTCCAGATGAGGCCTCACCAATGTCAAATAGAGGGGAACGATCACGTCCCTCGATCTGCTGGCAATGCCCCTACTTATACAACCCAGAATGCCGTTAGCCTTCTTGGCAACAAGGGCACAGTGTTGACTCATATCCAGCTTCTCGTCCACTGTAACCCCTAGGTCCTTTTCTGCAGAACTGCTTCCTAGCCATTCGGTCCCTAGTCTGTAACAGTGCATAGGATTCTTCCGTCCTAAGTGCAGAACTCTGCACTTGTCCTTGTTGAACCTCATCAGGTTTCTTTTGGCCCAATCCTCTGTATCCTGTCCCTACCCTCCAGCATATCTACCACTCCTCCCAGTTTAGTGTCATCTGCAAACTTGCTGAGAGTGCAGTCCATGCCATCCTCCAGATCATTAATGAAGATATTGAACAAAACCGGCCCCAGGACCGACCCCTGGGGCACTCCTCTTGAAACCAGCTGCCAACTAGACATGGAGCCGTTGATCACTACCCGTTGAGCCCGATGATCTAGCCAGCTTTCTATCCACCTTATAGTCCATTCATCCAGCCCACACTTCTTTAACTTGCTGGCAAGAATACTGTGGGAGACC